GCCCACCCCATACCGGCAGCGACAACTGCATCGCTGATCTGCTGCGGAGGGCTTAAGGGCGAGGAATAAATAGCCCTGTTCCCCCCACCCAGGAGCGGGGCAGAAAGTTATCCCCTGGGATTAGTTTTCGCTTTGAGGCCCTGGAGCAGCCGGGGAATGGGGATGGGGATGGGGATGTGCAGGAAGAGACACGGGAATGGCCGGAGCATCGTGTTTGGGGCCAGGAGGGGAGCACAGCCCCTCGCCTCAAGCCCTCGGTGCCACGTGCTTTCCTGCTGCTCTCAACCCACGTGGGTGAAGGTTTCACAACCCCGTTCCCATCCTTCTCCCCTCCATTTTGCCATGGGGAAAAAAAGAGGAATAAGGACTATAGGGAGAGGTTAACCCATACCTTTTTGCTCAGAAAAACACAGGCAGGGGCAGAAATTACACAAAGACACTGCTCTGTCTCAAGACAGAAGCACGAGTGACCTAGATCCCCACCAAAGGAGTCCGTGTCCTCTTCCTTTGTCTCCAGCGTATGCAAGATCCTGTGCAGTTCAAATAGTTTCCTGCGCTACCTCACCCATGCAAAGCCTGAGTCATGGGGTCTCAGCAAATCTCGATAAACATCTTCGATTTGCATTGACAAAGAGCAGCCAGCACAGATGGGTGGCAACGCCAGTGACTTGGTTCGTTCCTATTTGCAAAAGCAAACAGATTGCAAAAATGATGCGCAGGGCTGAGGGGCGCAACCACGGACCACCCTCTCCCCATCGCCCATGCCACCAGCTCTGCCGGGACCCGCTGGGCATCACCACCGGCCGGCTCATCGCCCAAAAACCTTCCACCAAACTCTTCTCCCCTTGGTTTTTTTTCCACGCCGGCTTTCTGAAAAATAAAGGAAACAAAAAAATAAATATCCGCATCCATGCTTACAGGATCACCCTTGCACACAAGGTCACGCAGGGCCAGGTCCCAGGTGGAAGTCCCATGTGCTGGTACGACGTGGCCTTGTACCCACCCCGTCCTGCCCAGTCCTTACCAGCTGGAACTGGAGAGAGAGCTGAGACACTTACCAGTTTGCGTAAATACTTCTCTTATCCATAAGCTTTGGCAAACATTTCGCGTGACCATTGGTACAAATTAGCTCAACGTTTGGCCAGCTGTTATCCCATTTACGGCAATTCAGCTGAGCAGGAGATAAACCCCCCTAGGCTCGCTTTCCCAGGCAAAACCTTTGAGATGTCTCCAGCTGCTGTCGTTCTTGCGGAGAGATCGTGGTAACGCCAAAAAAGACATCAGAGCAAACTTCAAAACAAGCCGAAGCTGCCCCAGGTAGGTCTGCCACACGCACCGCCCCCGCTTTCCTGTCTCTGCACAGGCAGAAATCCCCTCGCTGCCACCATCCCCGTCGCCTCCAGCCCTCTGCGAGCAGCCTGCGGCACCCCAGCCCCACGAGCTGCCCGGCTCCTGGGCTCCCCTGGGTAGGGAGCAGGGGGGTGAGTTGCCGCAGCCAGGAATTCCACCCCTACAATGCCGTGGACAGCCCCTGCTTTGCTCGAAAGCGGCTGAACAGAAAAGTTTCTGGCTGTTGAAGTGCTGCCCTGCAAAGAGAGCAAGCTATCAGTGTACTGGGGCAGAGGAGAGATGAAGCAGGGCTGAGACGGGAGATCGCTCCAGTGGGGACACCTCCCATGCATCTCGCACCGGAAAGATTGGAGAAACAGAGAAACTGCTAAAATCAAGCTAAAGTAAGAGACCCTTGGGGCAGCACAGGCGGGGCCTCCAGCCGGCAGCCTCGCCGACGCACCCGCGGGCTGCAGGAAGGATGCGACGTGATCGGGCGCGGCCCCTTCGCCGAAAGTTGGTGACTTATAGCAGCGCAGGGCTGTAGCTGCCACAGCGAGCACGGCGTGCCAGAGCCC